ACCGGGCGGTTCTATCGGGTGGTTCTACCGGGTGGTTCTACCGGGCGGTTCTACCGGGTGGTTCTACCGGGTGGTTCTACCGGGTGGTTCTATCGGGCGGTTCTATCGGGCGGTTCTATCGGGTGGTTCTACCGGGTGGTTCTACCGGGCGGTTCTACCGGGTGGTTCTACCGGGTGGTTCTACCGGGTGGTTCTATCGGGCGGTTCTACCGGGCGGTTCTACCGGGTGGTTCTACCGGGTGGTTCTATCGGGCGGTTCTATCGGGTGGTTCTATCGGGCGGTTCTACCGGGTGGTTCTATCGGGCGGTTCTATCGGGTGGTTCTATCGGGCGGTTCTATCGGGTGGTTCTACCGGGCGGTTCTACCGGGTGGTTCTACCGGGTGGTTCTATCGGGCGGTTCTATCGGGTGGTTCTACCGGGCGGTTCTACCGGGTGGTTCTATCGGGCGGTTCTACCGGGTGGTTCTATCGGGCGGTTCTATCGGGTGGTTCTACCGGGCGGTTCTACTGGGTGGTTCTACCGGGCGGTTCTACCGGGTGGTTCTATCGGGTGGTTCTGTTGTAAAAGGTTCCGGTTTCTCTGGCTCTGCTGTAATTCCCATCAATCCCAGTATAAAATATTGAGTACTTTTGCTGGGTACCATGTTGGCTGTGGGGTCAGAGTTCATCATCAGTTCTTCAAACATACATGTGCAGAGCAGTTACCAGGGGTCGGAGGTCAGACGTCTGCTAGAATCTGCATGGAGGTCAGTGGGAACCTGGCCCTGACGTTGGCATGGCAACAGTGAAGCTAACCTTGTGGGCGGAGCTAACTCTGCCACCTGAGCTGCGTTCCTCACTCACCTGGAGGCTCTTTGGATGGGTGGAGCATGAAAACATCTCCATCAGCAGAAAGGTTCCTGAAGGGAACTCAGACTTTCAGGTCCACCAGAACACGATGAAGCTGGTTGAAGCAGAACCGCAGACCCAGTCCAGCTGCTCCGTCTGTCAGTGATCGGTTCTGATGATCCATTCACTTTGGATTCAACTGAAGTCAAGTTGTGCTTCAGCACTGAGCAGAAACGACAACCAGACCAAAACGTTGAAACTTCTGACATGTCTAGTCCTCACCAAAGTTACCTTGGCAACTGAACCTCCCTGATGTGCTGAGTTCACTGTTTGTGGGACATTTGGCCTTCCACAGCCCAATGACATGTTTGATGGAGTCCCAGTGTGTCCAACAGGTGGAGCAGAAGAATGTTGAGAGGACAACGAGAGCAGGAAAAAACCCTGCTCTTCCTGAGGCTCCACCTCCAGGAAGTCGTCCCAACATGGCTCCCTGTAAACGCTTTAATATTTTTACCAGCGCTGCTCTGAGCAACAGTTGTTGCTCAGCAGATGTTTGCTAATTGCTACTTGCTAGTCTGAAGGAGCTGTGGCTTGAAGGTGGGGCTCAGTCCACCCAGGTATTTTACTAAATGGTTTAAAGAATTTGTCAAACATGAACGAGTCAAAACAACATTCAGGAAAAAAGACAAAATGATGAACAAACAAAAGGTTTATTTTATGTGAAACTGGCTTTTAAAACTAAAATAAGTCCAGGAACACACACACACACACACACACACACACACACACACCTACACACACACACACACACACACACACACACACACCTACACACACACACACACACACACACACACACACACACACCTACACACACACACACACACACACACCTACACACACACACACACCTACACACACACACACACTCACACACCTACACACACACACACACACACACACCTACACACACACACACCTACACACACACACACACACACACACACCTACACACACACACCTACACACACACACACACCTACACACACACACACACCTACACACACACACACCTACACACACACACACACCTACACACACACACACACACCACACACACACCTACACACACACACACACCTACACACACACACACACACACACACACACACACACCTACACACACACACACACCTACACACACACACACACACACACACACACACCTACACACACACACACACCTACACACACACACCTACACACAAACACACACACACACCTACACACACACACCTACACACACACACACACACACACACACACACACACACCTACACACACACACACACCTACACACACACACACACACACACCTACACACACACACACACACCCCTACACACACACACACACACACACACACCTACACACACACACACACACACACACACACACACACCTACACACACACACACCCCTACACACACACACACACACACACACACACACCTACACACACACACACACACACACACACCTACACACACACACACCCCTACACACACACACACACACACACACCTACACACACACACACACACACACACACCTACACACACACACCTACACACACACACACACACCTACACACACACACACACACACACACACCTACACACACACACACACACACACACACACACCTACACACACACACCTACACACACACACACCTACACACACACACACCTACACACACACACACACCTACACACACACACACACACACCCCTACACACACACACACACACACACCTACACACACACACACACCTACACACACACACACACCTACACACACACACACACACACCCCTACACACACACACACACACACCTACACACACACACACACCTACACACACACACACACACACACCCCTACACACACACACACACACACCTACACACACACACCTACACACACACACACACACAAACACACACCTACACACACACACACACACACCTACACACACACACACACCTACACACACACACACACACACCTACACACACACCTACACACACACAAACACACACACACCTACACACACACACACACACACACACACCTACACACACACACCTACACACACACACCTACACCCCCCCCCCACACACACACACACACACACACACACAGGTCAGCTGGAGCGGGTTCCTGTGGAGAGCAGAACCTCCAGAACCAGAAACCTGCAGGCTGAACTGGACCCGTCCGGTTCTGATCTGAACTCTGTAAGGTGACTTTCCTTTGACATGAGGGGGCGGAGTCACATGATTGAAGAGTTTCAATTAAAACAACGATGTATTTGGATGACGTCAGAAGCTGGGAGCCTGTGATTGGTTGAGCAACAGCCAATCAGAGGCTCTCTTTGTCTGCTTCTGTTGGCTCCGAGGAAATATTGGCTTTGTGTAAATTCTGTTTGTTCTGATCAACTTTCCCCAGTTAAATCAATATTTAACATCATTTCTAATCAAATTAATATTTTCAGATTTTAAAAAATCCAGACTCAACCCACCAATAAATAAGAAAGACAAGACAGATAGATTTCCATGTTTCTAAAAGTATAAATTAATTATGTTTTGGATCCAAGTTTCATTTTGCTTAAATGTAAAAATGAACAACTAAAAAATGAACTAAATAAAATCATACGAGAAAGAAGAACTGAATAATTCAGCAGCTTCATTTTAATTTATTGAGTCAATAAATTAAAACACAAATAATTAAATGAGCAACATAAATATAATAAAATAAACAGAATCTGAGAAAAAAGGAAAATTACCAAATTATTTCACAATAAATATAAATTAATGAGACTTTTATCCCTTCTGTCGCTTCAGCAGTGTGGGGTCAAAGGTCAGACGTGTTGAAGTGGTAACCGACCCCCACCAAACACACGCACACAAACGCACACACGCATACACACACACGCACACTCCACCAGCTCTTCGTGTTTAATCCTCCATCTGCTCCATCACGACATGAAGCTAAAATAAATTCTTTAAACTGTTCAGTGAAATTAAACTTTAATTAAATCATTAGAACCAAAAGTGACAAATAAGTAGAAGAGATGAGACGTTTCAATGTTTATGACAAAAAACGTTTAATACAAATAACATTATTATTATTATTATTATTATTATTATTATTATTATTATTGCTAGTAATAGTAGTGATATTAATAACAGTAATTTTTGAATTTTAAAACCAAAACCTGACAAATTTTATTAAAATTAAATGACCTTTGTAAGATTCATTTTCCTCTCTGTCCGCGACATTAAATGAGATTAAATAAAGAAAATATGAATCCAGAAGCAGCAGAAAAAACGAGCCGTTAACTTTTGATATTTGTTTAAGTGTAAAAACAACAAACATAAATTTTGCTCCATTCATTTTTTTTATTATTCATATTTACAATTTTTTATAGCTTGTTTACCTGAGCCTTCCTCCTCATCCTCCTCTTCCTCAGCAGCCATGAAGAGGATAAAGAAATGAAAGCGGCTCTCAGTGGACCGATTTGTCACAGCAAATTGGAGGGGCCCCACAGCCCACTTAGAAACACGAACCCGTCACTCCCACGCTCACACCGTGCGTGAGAGGCTCCGCAGCGACCCGCAGCGCGGATCCTCCCCGTCATCAGCCTCCTCTGCCCGGCCGCAGCTCCGCCAGCTGCTCCACCATTCAACCTGAGGGCGTCCACGTGAGCGTGCGCGGCTCCCACACACCTACCCCCCTTCCTGCGTGTGGCCGTCACGTGACTGTGGAAAAGTGTCCCATTAATGAAGCCGCTCAGCTGCCGGCGCTGACAGCCGCGCAGGGAGCCGAGCGGAGCAGAGCGGGACATGGAGCAGGACAGGGCCGCCTAGCGCAGCGCAGCATCGGCCACAGCCAGCACGGAGCCCCGCTGCCTGCCGGAGGACCGGAGGACCGGAGGACCGGAGGACCGGAGAACCATCCGCTGCTCCTCATCCAACTTTTCCTGAACTTTGACTCAGAGTTTCCCTCCCAGCCAGACGGAACAATGCCAGTCGCTGCGTAAAGACGCAGTGAGGAGCTGAAAGTTTGGAGAGACTCGGACTGGAGTGATTCGGGCCGTTCGGAACCATGCCGCGGCCCGGCAGGAACACGTACAGCGACCAGAAGCCGCCCTACTCCTACATCTCCCTGACGGCCATGGCCATCCAGAGCTGCCCGGACAAAATGCTGCCGCTCAGCGACATCTACAAGTTCATCATGGAGCGCTTCCCCTACTACCGGGAGAACACGCAGCGCTGGCAGAACTCCCTGCGCCACAACCTCTCCTTCAACGACTGCTTCATCAAGATCCCGCGCCGGCCGGACCAGCCCGGAAAGGGCAGCTTCTGGGCGCTGCATCCCAACTGTGGAGACATGTTCGAGAACGGAAGCTTCCTGCGGCGCCGGAAGCGCTTCAAGGTGGGCGGCGTGCCGGTGCCGGACCCGTTGGGCCCCAGCAAGCCACAGGACGCCGCGCACTACCTGCAGCAGCAGGCCAAGCTGCGGCTGAGCGCGCTGCACGCCGCCGCGCATCTCCCGCAGGTCCCTGCGGGGTACGGCCTGGGCTCCACGCAGCCGTCCGGCTTCAAGCACCCGTTCGCCATCGAGAACATAATCGCCAGAGAGTACAAGGTTCCCGGCGGACTGGCCGCCTTCCCGGCCGCCGGCTACCCGCTGCACAACCAGCTGAGCCCGGCCTGGCCGCACATGTACGGCTCGGGCGTCCTGGACCCCGCGGCGCCCCTCTCCGTGGCGCCCGCCGACTACTCGGCCTATGGTATGCCGCTGAAGACGCTCTGCCACGGCGGACAGACTCTGCCCGCCATCCCGGTGCCCATCAAACCCGCACCCGGCCTGCCCGCACACATCCCGGCCTTCCTGGCCCATTCCCCGCGCTCCCTGAGCCCGACGTCTCCGCAGACCGCCGCCGGCCAGAGCAGCCCGGCCGGGCCCGCAGAGCCGCTGCAGTCCGCGGTGGCGGTGCACTGAGCGCCGCGCAAGACCGCATGAACGCGGGGCAAACTGCGGGTTCGTGTCTGCCAATGCGACCTCTGACCTTCCACGGAGCTCGGTTCGGAGATGGAGGTTCGGTGGGTCGAGCAGAGACATGAAGCTGAAGGAAACTCATGAGTGAAACCGAACTTTATCAGAACTTCAGAGTTAAGTCCCGGAAAAATATCATTTTGTTTCTAAAACTGGAAACTGAGAGAGAAAGAGAGAGAGACCGAGGCCTCGCTGTGTGTGTGTGTGTGTGTGTGTGTGTGTGCGCGCGCGCACGTGCGTGTGTTGCTGTAAAAATGTCACTCAGCATCAGAAGCATGAATCGTCTGCAGCTCCTCTGTTTGCTTTATTCTCTCGTTGTTGGTGGAAAAATTTAAAGGACATGTTTAAAAAATGTTTAATTTATTTCTGGCTCTTTAAAAAAAAAATCCCACGTTTTGCACGTTGTTTTATAATTGTTGCAAATGTTGAAAATCTACAATAATCATTTTATTTTAATTTCTCTGGTTTTGAGCCAGAAACAAAATCAAGTTTGAAGCTGAAACCAACAAACAGAAGCTAAAAATGATTTTATCATGAAATGACTAATAATAATAATAATAATAATAATAATAATAATAATAATAATAATAATAATAATGAGTGATTCAGCTGAAGCTTCCGTGTTTTCATTCACATTCCGCTGAAATTCTCTGTAATTCAGATGAAAACTGATTTTTCTTGATGCTTCTGCAGATGCAGGTTGAAAGTTTTTCATTTTCTACCGATGAAGAAAGTCAGAAGATTTAATATTTCTGTGAATCAGAAACTTTATTTGATGTTCTGGATGTTCATCTCCTTAATTTGATTAATTTATTCTTTTTTTCGTGTCATATTTTATGTGAAAAAATAGTAAATGTCTCTTTTAAAGTTATTTTCGTTTGATTTGATCCCTCAATGTTTTTTTTTTTTCAAATTTGTTTTCATAACAGCAGAATAATTGTTTCCATAAATAAATCAAAAACGTCTTTTTGCGATAAATGTGTTCATTTTCAGGCGCGCGCAACTGATTCTAACTAAATTCATCTGTAGCCCGAATTTAATAAATGTAAATTAAAATAGGAAATGCGGCAGATTTTGCTTAATTTCTATACAGAGATGGAGATGGTCCATAAACTCATCGCAATAAGAGAAAATATTTTTCCCACAATAAAACTAAAAGTTCGTCCAAGAAGTTTGTCAAACAAGAGAAAATAAAATAAAGCGAGTTCTGATCTGAACGTATTTAATATTTTAAAAAGAAAATATATAACATTATGCGCAAATATTATTTTAAAGACTAAATGAGAAAAATAATAGAAATGAATAAAACCATAATATCACAAACTTAAGCAGAATATTTACTAATGTTAAAACTGACAGAAGATGATAAAGTTTCCCACAGAAACGAAGCTGGTAGAGAAACAGGAGGTCTCACTCTAACCTGATAAGACCCGACCGGAACCAGAACCTCCAAATCAACCAGCTACTGACCAGACTTCTGACCCGGTTCTGTTAGGTCCGAACCAGAACTTTCCATCTCAGGTTCCATGTCGGGTCATTTCAAACGGAACCAGAACCCGAAGGTTTTTGGACAGCGTAACTATAGCAACAGGCTAAACAGTTTAGTTAACAGAGTTAGCTGGTTGGTTAATCTGGATCAGGATCTGGATCAGGATCAGGATCTGGATCTGGATCTGGATCTGGATCTGGATCTGGATCTGGATCAGGATCAGGATCAGGATCAGGATCAGGATCAGGATCTGGATCTGGATCTGGATCAGGATCTGGATCTGGACCTAGACCTGGACCTGGATCTGGACCTGAATCTGGATCTGGATCAGGATCTGGATCTGGACCTGGACCTGGATCTGGATCTGGATCTGGACCTGGACCTGAATCTGGATCTGGACCTGGACCCGGATCTGGATCTGGATCTGGATCTGGATCTGGACCTGGACCTGGACCTGAATCTGGATCTGGACCTGGACCTGAATCTGGATCTAGACCTGGACCCGGACCCGGATCTGGATTTGGATCTGGATCTTGATCTGGATCTTGATCTGGATCTGCATCTGGATCTTGATCTGGATCTTGATCTGGATCTGGATCTGGACCTGGATGAGGATCTTGATCTGAATCTTCTTCCTCTCATGTGGGAAAAAATTTTCTGCGTTTTCATGACAAATGTGACAAATTTCAGTCCATCTTCTATTAAATACCAAATGAAATTCAAATAACAGCCGGTTCCGCTCCTCAATTACCAATCAGAGGAGGCGTTGCAGCGCCAAGCCCCGCCCACTTGGGGCGACTACATATGCAGGAGTCGGTCATTTTATAGAGCAGCAATGGATTCAACATGTTGGAATGACTTCCTGTTGTCCAGGCAAATAAATATATAAATAACAAAAAACTACAAACTGCTGAGAAAACCACTTCCTGTTCATGTTATTGTTTGCATAAGGAAATCTCGCGCATGCGGACCAGCTGGAGGGGAAAACGACAATTGTTTTCCATGTCCTCCATATCAGCCGCTGCAGATATTAGAGAAAAACCGTTCAAGTCCAACTCAGGACCATTTCTGTCTCCGTATCACCGCAGCAACGAAAAGACTTGAAACCATAGCAACTGACAACAACGAAACAAAAAAATTAACACTGAAATATTTTCCACCCAGAGCAGAACTTTGAGTCTGTTGCAATAGTTGGCGTCAGGCTTAATGTTAATATTTAGTATCTTAAAGAGACACTGCACAATTACGGCTGTTAAGGTCTGGTGTGAATATTAGGGAAGAATAAAGGTTTAAATCTGAGCTGCTGAGGAAGAGGAGAAGAGGAGGAAGAGGAACTGCTCTAGATCAGAAACAGATCCAAACTGACAGAACGTTCTTCAGCTGCCGGCTCAGTTCCAGCTGAGGATGATGAGGATGAGGAAGATGTGCTGCTGTAATGAATCCGCTGCTCGTTAATCCGCGGACCAGGAGGCGACACCAAACCTTTGATGAATCAGTGAAATAGATTCATTCCTGTCTGGATTTGATGTTTCAGCGTTTTTTTTTTTTTTCTTTGCTGCTGCAAAATAAAGTTTCTTGTTTGTTTCTGGTGTTTTCATCTGGCGAAGCATCAGGTGGCTGAAATGTTCTGGCCTTGATAAGAACTGGACGTTATTCTGATGAACACAATGAGTCCTGTTGTCCTCTGCAGCCTGACGGTGGAGCCCATGGGGGCCACTGGGGGCTACTGGGGACCACTGGGGGGACACTGGGGACCACTGGGGGGCCATTGGAAGGCACTGGGGGCACCAGGGACCACTGGGGGACACTGGGGGCCAGTGGGGGGGACACTTGGGGGACAGTGGGGGACACTGGGGGCCACTGGGGGGACACTGGGGACCACTGGGGGGCCATTGGGGGCCATTGGAGGGCACTGGGGGCACCAGGGACCACTGGGGGACACTGGGGGCCATTGGGGGGGCCACTGCGGGCCATTGGGGGCCATTGGGGGGCCACTGGGGACCACTGGAAGGACACAGGAGGCCACTGGGGGCCACTGGGGACCACTGGGGGGACACTGGGGGCCATTGGGGGGCCACTGGGGGTCAATTTGGGGACACTGAGGGCCATTGAGGGGCCCCTGGGGGCGACTGGGGGGCCATTGGGGGGTCCACTGCGGGCCATTGGGGGCCATTGGGGGGCCACTGGGGACCACTGGGAGGATACTGGGGGCCATTGGGGGGCCACTGGGGGCCACTGGGGGCGACTGGGGGGCCACTGGGGACCACTGGTGGGACACTGGGGGCCATTGGGGGGCCACTGGGGGCGACTGGGGGGCCATTGGGGGGGCCACTGCGGGCCATTGGGGGCCATTGGGGGGCCACTGGGGACCACTGGGGGGACACTGGGGGCCATTGGTGGGCCACTGGGGGCGACTGGGGGCCATTGGGGGCCACTGGGGGACCACGGGGGGCCACTGGGGGCCCCTGGGGACCATTGGGGGCTACTGGGGGCCCGCAGTCAGTCCTCTCCTGCGGCTTTGAAGCGCGGCTGAAGGTGTGAGTTTACGGCCGGATTCCTGAGCAGCTCGTAAATAACCGCAAAGCGCCACAAAGTGCCGCAGGCGGCAGGTTGTTGCGGCCGGCAGTCTGTTATCGTCATTCCTCAGCAACACGCAGAACCAGAACCAACTGGATCAGCAGAGCTGCAGCACTTCACAAGTCAAAATGACAAACCCAACCAGACCCGACCCGGGGGCCTGGAACCGGTTCCGTCCGGATCCATCAGTCAACCTTCTCCCACAGGAACCCAACAGATTCGTTCAGGTTCTGCAAAACAACCATCTCCTTCAGAACACAGTCTGGATCAGAACCAGTCCACAACCAGAACCAGTCAGATCTGCTAAATGTTAGGAAGCAGAAATGTTCTGAACCGTTCCTCGGACCAGAGGAGGAGGAACCGGTCCAGAAAAGAAACGGCTCAGTGACAGCGGTTCGGTTCCGACCCGGTCAAGCTCATCCGGTTCCTCTCAGATGAGGACACACAGAACCCGGTCCAGTTCTGGTTCCTTTGAAACTCCAAATCAGAAGAACTATGGACGCAATTTTCGGCGAGCTAATTAGCATATTATCTAAAGATTTAGATCAGAAAATATTATTTTAAAACTAGAAAATTCCTGAAGAAATTTAACCGGGGCCTGCCAAAGTGTGCCCGTCGGTTTGGACCCAGCGTTCTGATGCTAAACATTAGCATCCATGCTAAAGAAAGCTGCAATGTCATCAATAGCACGTGGACAGTCACAAGCATGAATTATTGAACATGGGTAATAAGTAAAGGAAACAGCTAATACCTCATTTAAGGTAAAAGGCTAATGCTAATGCTCTGCCTTGCTGCGCAAGGCAGAGCCCTATCCTGATTGGAAGACATCATGCAGGATAATGTTAGTGCACTGCCTATGGCAGTGCACTAACATGGCAGAGCCTATGCACTGCCATAGGCCTATGGCCTATGGCAGTGCACTACTGGGGAACAGTGAAATGCAAGACCACTAGTGCCTTAACTTGAGACGAAAAGATAAAGCAAGCTAATATCATTGCAGCGCCTGCGGCACTGCATTAGCCACAGACGTCTCTTAAGACTTTTATTTTGAAATTTTCATTGAACTTCATTTTAAATGGCCAATCTAATCCCATGTGTAATGATTTTTGGGTGAAATCAGACATAAAATGGTCAAAAGAGCACTTACTTGATGGAAAAATTGTCAAGGCTTTTATTTTGAAAATTTTTTAAAGATTAATTTAAAATTTCCACACTAATTCCATGTGTAACAATGGTTGGTCAAAAAGAGTTATAGAAGGCCCAAAACACAAGCAGTTCTAAAGTCCAGCTTTTTCCTCCGAGTTCTGCAATAGTTAGAACTACATTGATGCGTTTTTGTAGTCCTAATCATCTGGCCCTGCTGTGTTCCATTGCTATGGTAATGCATCCTCTGCAGGCTGTGAGTCAGACAGGGGGAGACATAATTCTATAAGTTTGAGGCAGCCATTTTCACTAAAATAGGCATGAGCCAGAAAGGAGTCTTAAGGCTTTTATTTTGACATTTTCAGTAAGCTTCATTTTAACTGTCCAAAATAATCCAAAGTGTAACAGTGGTTTTGTTAAAAAAAAGTCACATAATCCCCAAGAGAGCAATTCCATAATATAAAAGAATGTCAGGGCTTTTATTTTGAAATTTTAATTCAACTTAATTTAAAATTACCACACTAATCCTGTGTGTAACAATGGTTGGATAAAATCAGTTATAAAATGCCCAAAACACAAGTAGTTCTAAAGGCCAACACCTTCCTCAGAGCTCTGCCATAATAAAAACTACAATGATGCGTTTTTGTAGTTCTAATTTATAATTCTAAAGGCCAGCTCCTTCCTCAGAGCTCTGCCACAGTAAAAACTACAGTGATGCGTTTTTGTAGTTCTAATTTATAATTCTAAAGGCCAGCTCCTTCCTCAGAGCTCTGCCACAGTAAAAACTACAGTGATGCGTTTTTGTAGTTCTAATTTATAATTCTAAAGGCCAGCTCCTTCCTCAGAGCTCTGCCACAGTAAAAACTACAGTGATGCGTTTTTGTAGTTCTAATTTATAATTCTAAAGGCCAGCTCCTTCCTCAGAGCTCTGCCACAGTAAAAACTACAGTGATGCGTTTTTGTAGTTCTAATTTATAATTCTAAAGGCCAGCTCCTTCCTCAGAGCTCTGCCATAGTAAAAACTACAGTGATGCGTTTTTGTAGTTCTAATTTATAATTCTAAAGGCCAGCTCCTTCCTCAGAGCTCTGCCATAGTAAAAACTACAGTGATGCGTTTTTGTAGTTCTAATTTATAATTCTAAAGGCCAGCTCCTTCCTCAGAGCTCTGCCATAGTAAAAACTACAGTGATGCGTTTTTGTAGTTCTAATTTATAATTCTAAAGGCCAGCTCCTTCCTCAGAGCTCTGCCATAGTAAAAACTACAGTGATGCGTTTTGTAGTTCTAATTTATAATTCTAAAGGCCAGCTCCTTCCTCAGAGCTCTGCCATAGTAAAAACTACAGTGATGCGTATTTGTAGTTCTAATTTATAATTCTAAAGGCCAGCTCCTTCCTCAGAGCTCTGCCACAGTAAAAACTACAGTGATGCGTTTTTGTAGTTCTAATTAGCTGCTCGGCCCTGCTGTGCTTCGTTGCTATGGTAATTAATCCTCTGCAACTGTCATGTGTGTGAGACAGAAAGAATTCTATCTTTGTGAGACACCCAGTCAGTTTTGACTGAAAAAAGCGGTCCGAACAACTGCTTCCCATTCGGAAACCGTGATACGTATCGGAAAACCGTTTGAAGCGTATGAGAGCGCTATCTTTCGTCTCCGATAGTCCCGCTATTCATATCTGTACATCACTCACAGTAATAACAGCGACAAGATAAAAATGGTGTGCGCTGAGGTCTGACATTTTTCAGAAATACATGGAAGTGATCCTGGCTGAGCGAGTCGAAATCCTGTCGCATCACTTTGCTCTGAAGCCCCTAGACAGAAAACCGTAAGCCCTAGAAAAATTTTGAAAACATTTTACCGGAGCAGGCATGCGTATCTATTTTATGACCAAGTTTCATACCGATAGGGCGATATTTGTGGGCGTGACGGCGATTTCAAAATTTATTTGGGGTCAGAATCTCACTGCTTCCCACACTCTAACGAATCGTTGATTACACTCTAGTTTGGGCAGTTTCTAACTGACAAGAATTTTTGATGGTTTTTCGCTTTTTACTTTTTTATCGTAACTCCGAATCCCACCAAAAGTAATAGCACCCCTCCCGGCGCCGAGCCGCACAATTTGATACCACTTTTGTGGGTGGGCTCGCAGCGGTACGAGCCGCATTCCGGTTGACGGAAGAAAAATAAATAAACTAGAAAATTCCTGAAGAAATTTAACCGGGCCTGCCAAAGTGTGCCCGTCGATTTTGACCCATTGTTCTGATGCTAAACATTAGCATCCATGCTAAAGTAAGCTGCATGGTCATCAATACAATGTGGAGAGTCACAAGCATGACTTACTGCATTCAGTATACTAAATATGGGTAATAAGTAAGGGAAATAGCTAATACCTCATGCAAGGTAAAAGGCTAATGCTAATGCTCTGCCTTGCTGCGCAAGGCAGAGCCCTAACCTGAGTGGATAAGATCATGCAGGATAATCTTATTGCACTGCCTATGGCAGTGCACTGGTGGGCAACAGAGAAATGCTAATGTTTGTGCTAATGCTAATGCACTGTCTTGCTGCGCAAGACAGTGCCCTAACTTGAGAGGAAAAGATAATGCAAGCTAATATCATTGCAGCGCCTATGGCGCTGCATTAGCCAAGGCCGAATCTTAAGGCTTTTATTTTGAAATGTTCAGAATGTTTAATTTTAAATGGTCAATGTAATCCCATGTATAACAGTGATTTGGTTAAATCAGACATATAATGGTCAAAAGAGCACTGATTTAATCTAAAAATTCTCAAGGCTTTTATTTTGAAATTTTTTTAAAGCTTAATTTAAAATTTCCACACTAATTCCATGTGTAACAATGGTTGGTTAAAAATAGTTCTAAAAGGCCCAAAACACAAGCAGTTCTAAAGTCCAGCTTTTTTCTCTGAGTTCTGCCATAGTTAGAACTACAGTGATGCGTTTTTGTAGTCCTAATCAGCTGGCCCCTTTGTGTTCCGTTGCCATGGTAATGGATCCTCTGCCAGCTGTGAGTCAGACAGGGGGAGACTTAATTCTATCAGTTTGAGGCAGCCATTTTCCCTAAGATAGGCATGAGCCAGAAAGGAATCTTAAGGCTTTTATTTTGAAATTTTCATTGAGATTAATTTTAAATGGCCAATCTCATCCCATGTTTAACACTGATTGGGTTAAATCAGTTATATAGTGGTCAAAAGAGCAATTACTTGATGGAAAAATTGTCAAGGCTTTTATTTTGAAATTTACATTAAGCTTAATTTTAATGGTAACACTAATCCCATGTGTAACTATGGAGTTTTGAAATCAGTTCAAAAAATTCCCAAAAACCAAGTACTTGTCATGGCCAGCTGATTACTCCTCAGTAGTAACTGACAGTTCCGCCATGTTGTAGTTCTAACCTGCAGTCATTGTAGTTCTAAAGAGCAGCTCAGTCCTCCTCAGCAGTAACTGACAGTTCCACCATGTTGTAGTTTTTATATTCACCTATGACCTCTTCTGTAGGCACTGAGTGTTCTGCCATGTTGTAGTTCTAACCTTCAGGAATTGTAGTTCTAAAGAGGAGGTCAACTGTCATGTCAGTGTGACACACAAGGAGAGACTTAATTCTAAGTGCTTGAAGAAGTTAGTTTTTCTGACAGGCCTGAGAGAAATATTCAAGATTTTATTTCGAATTTTTTATTAAGCTTAATTTAAAATTGCCAAACTAATCCTGTCTGTAACAGTAGTTGCTTACAATCAGTTATAAAAG